TAACTCATAGCTAACCTCTTACACCAATTGAAAGGCCTCCCCAAACTCTCCAAATTCACATGCTTTTAAAATAGTGTCAGAAAGCCCAAGAGTAAGTGCTTGACCCAGAGAAGCTCCATTCTGTGGCCACAGTCTGTGGTACCACAGATCCTAAGCCCCAGCCAGCCATGTCACCCATGCATGTGGCTGATCATAAACCAGTCAGCTGAGGACTATGAAAGGAAGCTCAGTATACACTGAGAAACACTACTGGTGAAAAATATTTAGAGGACTAGTCACAATTAAAGACAGTCTGATGTAAGTTAAATAAGTTATGTCTTTGCTAAAAGACCAGCACATTCATTTATACTTATAACCTTGCTCAGCCTAACAATTTTATGCAAAGCCTGATAATACATGACCTTTCTTATTTTGTGTTACTCTCTCAGCTTCTTTTTTGTTCTAGTCTGTACTTCTCAAAGTATTAGGCTACATATCCAGCTAGAGCAAAAATTATTTATTATTAAAAAAAATCCTTTAGCCTTAGAGGCAGCTATTCTTTAAATTTTAAGCAATTATTCTCTATTTTGGGTGCACATTAGAATAACCTAGGGGAACTTTTAGAAAATACTCATACTTGGATCTCACCCTCCAGAGATTCTGATTGAATTTGCCTGGGGTAGAGGGACCTTAGGCAGTAACCCAGTGATTCTAAACAGTCAGGATTGAGATATATTGCCTTAGACAGAGCCGTGCTTCTCAGTCTTGACTGCACATTGGAATCAACTGGGGAGATTTAAAAAATTCTGATGCTTAGGTCCCACCCTAGAGATTCTGATATAATTGGTATAGAAAATTGTAGCTACTGAAATTTTAGAAGTTCCCCCAGAGGATTCTAACATACAACAAAAGTTTAAAAGTCTTGTTTAGAGGAAAGAACTGACCTGGGGTCAGAAGCCTTGGGTCTGCAGTCTCTCATCTCTTATTAGCTATGAAACCCTGGGCAATTTACATAATCTCCCCAAACCTTTGTTTTCTTATCTTTAAAATAGGGTCAATAGCACCTACCTGACAGGATTGTTGTAAGGATTAAGAGAAACAATGTAGGTCAAAATATGTTTCAAATTTAAATAACTATATAAAGATATTAATAGCCCCATATAAGAGGCTGGGGACCTCAAATATTTATTAATTTACATTATGTTCAGGAAAATACACATGTATAATAATGCTTCTTGAACTTTTTCATAGAATTTTTAAAAATAAATATAAGCAGAAAAACATTCAGTAGAATGTGTACTGTACCTATTCATTTAATCATGTTACTGTTTAATCATTATTACAATACTCCCTTCTCTATCATCAGTCCTTGATCCCAGGGATTTCATTCAAATTAAGAAGGGATAAGGGAAATTTGATTCAACAAGTATTTATTGTCCATTTTGCACAAGTTCAGTGCTGGATGCTGTGGGAAACAGAAGAGAAGTAGGAAGCAGGAGTTCCTGCATTGAAGATGGGCACAGTGGCTCATGCCTATACTCCCAGCACTTTGGGAGTCAGGGTGGGTGGATCACCTGAGGTCAGGAGTTTGAGACCAGCATGGCCCACATGGTGAAACCCTGTTTCTACTAAAAAAAAAATTCAAAAATTAGCTGGGTGTGGTGGTGCACATTTGTAGTCCCAGCTACTTGGGAGGCTGAGGCAGGAGAATTGCTTGAACCCAAGAGGCGGAGGTTGTGGTGAGCCGAGATTGCGCCATTGCACTCCAGCCTGAGTAACAAGAGCAAAACTCTGTCACAGAAAAAAAAAATAAAATAAAAAGAGTTCCTGCCTTGCGGAACCTATCTGATTAGGGAGAAAATGTATATCCATTTGAAGTGGTTATATAAAGCAAAGTGGCTGTCTAATGGAGTATAGAATTAATTGTGAGAAAAGACTATAGGTTTCACTTCCAGGTTATCTAAACAGGATTTTAAATCTGAGATTCCTATATGGCCAGTTGCTATCTTTGCTGTAATTATGTAAATAATCAGACCACAGTGGCTCATGCCTATAATCCCAGCACTTCGGGAGGCCAAGGTGGGTGGATCATGAGGTCGAGAGATTGAGACCATCCGGGACAACATGGTGAAACCCATCTCTACTAAAAATACAAAAATTAGCCCGGCATGGTGGCAGGCACCTCTAGTCCCAGCTACTTGGGAGGCTGAGGCAGGAGAATTGCTTGAACTGGGAGGCAGCAGTTGCAGTGAGCTGAGATCACACCACTGCACTCCAGCCTGGTGACAGAGCAAGACTCCGTCTCAAAAAATAGTAATAATAATAACAATCGACAAAAATTGATGACACTAACCTTATTTTACAAATTAGTCTCATTCTCATTATCTTTGGTAAAAATTGAATGACTATACCTGTTATTAGATTATAGTCCTGTGTACTGTTTTTGCGTTTTTATTATTCACCTATTTATTAGATTGAGTCTTAAATTCTTCTAGGTTCCTCCAATCCAACTTTCTTCCAGAAAATTACTACAAACAGGAAGTGGTCTGTTCCTAAAGCCCTAAAAGCTGAAACTAAATAAATTTTAAGGAACGAATTTTTTGTCAGATGTGTGGGCCATACTGAAAGTTCACCAAAATGCCAGATGCCATAATCAAAGACATCCAAACTACAAAACTGCCACCTACACACTGTAAACAGCTTTTCCCAAGACCATTGGAACAAGACTCCATACCACAGAAGATTTTTACCCTTCATAATGCCTACCTTTTTCACTTGACAGGATAATACTACAATAAAATTTCACAATCAGTAGCTGTCATGGGTAACTTGACAAAACCTGACCTAAGAAATCCTTTATTCTACTTAGTGAGTGATCTGGCAATATCCCTAACAACTTTTGGTTTAAATTGTACTGCTAGTTGCTTTTATAAAGTTGGCACTCTCTGCCTTAATTCAAACAAGTGACAAAATTGCTACTCAATGGCTCCAATAGGTAGTTCTCCCATGGTCTTTTTTTTTAATTTACTTTTTATTTTTAAATTTTTATTTATTAATATTTTTGAGACAGAGTCTCACTCTGTTGCCCAGGCTGGAGTGCAGTGGTGTGATCTTGGCTCACTGCAACGTCTGCCTCCCAGGTTCAAGCAATTCTCCTGCTTTATCCTCCCAAGTAGCTGGGATTATAGATGCATGCCACCATGCCCAGCTAGTTTTGTATTTTTAATAGAGATGGGTTTCACCATGTTGGCAAGCTGGTCTTGAACTTCTAACCTCAGGTGATCCACCCGCCTTGGCCTCCCAAAGTGCTGTGATTATAGGTGTGAGCCACTGCACTTGGCCTCCCATGGTCTTTTGATTTGTTTTGTTGATTGCCTGTAGGCTTGCTCTTACTTTGGAATCACTGCACAAACTAGCTTTGTCATACCTCAATTAGTTTCACCTTGTATTATCTTTTAAACAAATGTGTACCTGTTGTCTGTCAAATCCGTGCAGAAGGCAACATCCTAAGTGATGTTGGTCCAGTGTATTGAAATAATAGCCAATGCCTATGAAACAGAATCAACCTTAATGATGAAATTCACATAGACTAAGCCTGAGGGCTTCTCATGCAACTAAAAAGGTCTTGACACTGTCATCCAGCTGATAAACACCTCCCCCTGATGTGGAACAAGACTAAATAACGGGGACCGGTGGATGTTTGTGCAAAGGGACACTTAAAACCTGATTACAAGCTGAATGATCAGTGATGCTTTTGGAGAAAGATCTTGATCAAAAGGGGAAAATGTGAAAGTTGCAGATATCAGGATAAAATCACTCTTGAAAGACCCAAATTAGAGCTCGGAAAGTAGGAAGAAGCATTCATGCTTGCATGTGTAAGTTAAGGACTATCTCAGAGACTTTCTAAAATAATCCCACACAAAATTTCCTCTTTAATGCTGCAGTAATTCAGATAAAAAACCCTCAAAAGAACACTTGTTAATAATATCTCCACCAATAAACTGATGCCAATTCTAGCTTTGAGCTTCTGGAACCAGTGAACTCTAAGCCGTTGACGCAAAGTTTTAAGCAGCTTATGTGAACTTCTCCTTTCTGACAATAAAACTTTTTTCTACTGTCCCCTCTTCAAATGCACCTTTGCCTTGCCGTATTGTACTTCCCAGATTATAATCCTTTTTGCTTACTCCCAAATAAACTCATCATATCAGGAAATATTTTTCTCTGATGTCTTATTTTTTTTTGGTTGACAGTGGCACCACAGACAAAGTCACCTTCTTTACAACTTTTCTATAGCCTCTGCTGTATAGACAATTCAAAATTTATATATGCACTATTTAAGTTTTGTCAAGCTTTGTTTAGCGTTTTATCTTTATTTGAATAGGTTCTTTTCTATTTAAAAGTATTTTATATGTGAAAATTACATTAAATACCTACTTGTAGTAAAAGTTGGTCATCTTGTGCTATACTGTGAAATTCTCTCCCATTTTGCTTGAGTTTTGTTTTACTGCCATATAGCAGCAAAAGTCTGAATTTTTTTTCCAAGGAAAGAGTTGTTGGAAAAGTTTCATAGTTTGAAGGATGTACCTCACAGAATTCATGCAAAGACAATCTATATTACTATTTATCAATTGGTAATAGAGATCTTATGTGATACCTTAAAATAAAGCTTATAAATAAAAATAAAACCCTAAGCTCCCCACTGACTGAAGAGACCCTCTCTTGGTCAAGGGTACCCAAAAGAAACCTTAAATATTAAGTTCTCAGCCACGATGAAAAGGGAGGTTAGACACACCTCATCATACTCTCTCCTTTTTAGAGTTTGGGCACAACAACAGGCCATCATTAGTGTTAAAATAGAGATCGTAAGACTGACAAAATAGACTCGGTCGCAATAAGATACCAAATTATAAACAAGATCTAATGACTGCAGGACATCAATCTTGCTAAACAGGTCATTTTTCACCCCTATATTGTGGCTGACATAGCATCCTTATCTTAATGTAAACATTCCTTTCTGCTGAAAAGTTTTAGGCAGAGCCTCGCTCCTTTAACCAACTGCAAATTAAAGGATCTCTGAATCCCCTTATAACCTGTAAGCCTCCACTTCAAGACATCCCAACTTTTGAGCCTGAAGCTATGCATACCTTCCATATATTGATTTATGTCTTTTCCTGTAACTCCTGCTCCCATAAAATGTGTAAAACCCAACTGTAATCCAACTGCCTCAGGACCATTCACTCAAGGCTTTTTGGGTTTGTGTTTCCCCTGGGCCATGGTTATTCATGTTGGCTCAGAATAAACCCCTTTAAAACATTTTAAAGAGTTTGGTTTTTCCATGAACAAGACTTATAGGAATAAAAGGAACCAAAACTAACCTTTAAGTTCTGGGTATCCTCGATATCTAAAGGTAATGAGAATGATGAGCTGGATCAGCACAATCAGTGCAAAAAGGACCCGGGCCTGCGGGGAAATAGATGTTAATGTGAAATAGACACATGGGTACACTTTCAGTTAAGATTTTTAAAGTGGCTTTATTAACAAAAATGGAAATGGTATCTGATACAGTGATGTAAGAAATACATATTTTGGTCTTTGTCCCTACTGGTCAGAGCTCTTAAAATCCTTGTAATTGTGTAAGTGATAACAGTAATAGGAGCATGTTGTTATAACATTTTGTTTTTATCTCTGGCTCCTGAAACAGCTCTAGAGTGATAAAGTAAAAAGAATACCTGTTGTTGTGGCCGGGCGCGGTGGCTCACGCCTGTAATCCCAGCACTTTGGGAGGCCGAGGCGGGTGGATCACGAGGTCAAGAGATCGAGACCATCCTGGTCAACATGGTGAAACCCCGTCTCTACTAAAAATACAAAAAATCAGCTGGGCATGGTGGTGCGTGCCTGTAATCCCAGCTACTCAGGAGGCTGAGGCAGGAGAATTGCCTGAACCCAGGAGGCGGAGGTTGCGGTGAGCCAAGATCGGGCCATTGCACTCCAGCCTGGGCAACAAGAGCGAAACTCCGTCTCAAAAAAAAAAAAAAAAAAAAAAGAGAATACCTGTTGTTATTCATAACAAGCCCCTTTTGGAGAAGGTAGAGCAAGATGGCCAAAGAGAACCCTCCAGTAATTATCTACCCCTTTCCCCACAGAACACCAAATTAAGTAGCTATCCCTGCAAGAAAGCACTTTTATAAGAATCAAAAATCAGATGAGTGATCACAGTACCTGGTTTTAACATCATATCAAGGAAAGAGGCACTAAAAAGGGTAGAAAACACAGTACTTCATTGCCTACACCATCCCTCCCCCATTCTGTGGCAGGGAGAATTTCTGTACTTCTGGGAGAGAGCCAAATGACTGTAGGACTCTGCGTTGGAACTCAGTCCTGCCCTGTCACAGGGGAACACAACACAGGGCAGAATTCTGCCAGCACCCACAGAGGGACATTTAAGCTGACCCATGCCAAAGGGAATCCTCTGCCCCAGTGGTAGGAACCTGAGTTCCAGCTAGTTCCAGCACCAGCTGACTAAAGAGGTGCCCTGGGGTCCTGAATAAACTTGAAAGGCAGTCAAGCCACAAGGACTGTAGTCCTTGGGCAAATCTGGGTAGTGTGCTGGGCGCAGAGGCAGCGGAAATGGAGTGCACACCACCCAGTGAGACACCAGCTGTGGTGGCCAAGGGAGTACTTGTATCCCCTGTCCCCCAACTCTCCAGGTGGTGCAGCTCCAGGAGAGACTCCTTCCTCTTATGGAAAGAAGAGAGAAAAGTAAAGAGGACTTTGTTTTGCCACCTGGATACCAGCTCAGTCACAGTAAATTAAAGTACCAAGCAGATTCCTGAAGCCTCTGAATCCAGGCCCTCACTCCTGAATGGCATTTCTAGACCCAGCCTGGGCCAGATGTGAACCTGCTGTGTTGAACAGAAAGACCATGTCCTGGAAAGATTCACCATCTGCTGACCAAAGAGCCCTTGGGCCTTGAATAAACATCAGCAGTAGCTAGGCAGTAGTCACCACAGACCTTGGACAAGACCCAGTACCATGCTGAATTTAGGTGTCACCCAGAGCAGTACCAACTGTGGTCACCTCTCTCACATATCTAGGCAGGCCAGCAAAGAGAGAGAGAGGCTCCTCCTGCTTGGGGAAAAGTGAGGGAAGAAAACAAAAGACTCTGCCTGGTAATCCAGAGAATTCTCCCAGTTCTTACCCAAGCCCACCAAGGCCACATAAGTCTGCAAGAGTTGCAGCATTACTGGGCTTGGGGCGCCCCCTACTACAGATATGGCTACAATGACGAAGGACTTCGATCACAACCCTCAATTGCCGTTGAATACCTGGAAAGCCTCCTCAAGAAAGATGAGTACAAACAAGCCGAGACTACAAAGATTAGAATAAATGTCTAACTCTTCAAGGCCCAGACATTGACAAACATCCACAAGCCAGGAAAACATAACCTCACCAAATGAACTAAATAAGGCACCAGTGACCATTGCTGGAGTGACAGAGATATGTGAACTTTCAGAAAGAGAATTCAATAATAACCACACATCATTTTTTTTAAGAGATGGAGTCTTTAAGTTTTTTCTTTTTCTTTGTCTCCCTCTGTTGCCAGGCTGGAGTGCAGTGGCATGATCTCAGCTCACTGTAACCTCCACCTCCCAGGTCCAGGCGATTCTCTTGCCTCAGCCTCTGGAGTAGCTGGGACTACAGGTGTGCACCACCATGCTCAGCTAATTTTTGTATTTTTAGTAGAGATGGGGTTTCACCATGTTGGCCACGATGGTCTCAACTCCTGATCTCGTGATCTGCCCGCCTCAGCCTCCCAAAGTGCTGGGATTACAGGCGTGACTCAACACACCCGACCTAAGTTTTTTCTTTTTAAGAGATAGAGCCTTTAAGAGATGGAATCAAACATCTGATCCACCAATAAAGAAAATTATAAATTGCTTCAACATTACTCTTTCTGAATTTAGACACTTAGACCGATATTGAAGCCAAGTAATTTTATACAGTTATATTAAGCAATCAAATTAAAATAGTCCACTTTCATTGTACTGGGAGAAGGATACTTTGTTTTAAAGTTGTATAAGAATGAAAAAACAGTATAGAGTACACTGCAGGCTGAGTAAGCATAGACTGTGTTTTCTTTTGCTTTTTTCTCAAGAAGTCATTCACGTAGAGATTAACTCAGAGTAATGACATATGACCTAGGTGCTTGTTTCTGAAAGTACGATCCCCAGACCATTATTGGAATCAACTCAAACCTGTTAGGAATGCTGAATCTCAGGCCCCTTCTCAGACTTACTAAATCAGAATCTATATTTTAATAACATACTCAGGTTATTCATTTGAATATCAGAATTCCCAAAGCCTAATTTAGGTGACTGTTTAAAATCCACAAAAGAAAAAAATAACAAATTATTTTAAAATTTTGTAATAATGAGATGCAAATGCTTATTAATAATATGTTTGAAAAAATCACACAAGTAATAAAAGTAAACAAAATAATGATTTCACATTTTAAATCTGTGAGAATATACACTAAACCTATCTCTGGGAGGCGAAATTAAGAAAGGTTTCAGTTTTCTTCTGAACATTTTAGTGTGTATCTTTTTTTTTTTGTATTTTACACTAACACCCAGGATAAATGACATATGAGGGAACTACAGTATAAATTGCCATAGCTTCTCTAAAAGACAATTAACAGTGTATATTAAAAACTAAAAACATACCGATTTACTCATTTAAGAAATATTTATTGAGGGCTTACTATGTGACAAGCATAGCAAACAAAGATTCCCTGCCCTAATGGGCTTATATTTTAATGAGAGAGGAGAGAAAAAAAAAAATGACTGTAATAAATAATAATTAATTTATGTAATTATATATATAAATAGTAAAGTATATAAAATCCTGTGCCCACCCTTTGATCCAGCAATCCACCTCTAGAAATTTATCCCAAGAAACTATATTAGAGATATATGCAAAAACTTAAGTTACAAGTGTATTTATACAGTAGAGGGGCCAATTAGAAACAACTTAAATGTCCACCAATAGAGAAGTTATTTAAAAAATTAAGGTAGCCGGGTGAGGTGGCTCACGCCTGTAATCCCAACACTTTGGGAGACTGAGGCGGGTGGATCACCTGAGGTCAAGAGTTCGAGACCAGCCTGGCCAACATGGCGAAACCC